ATTTCCGAGGATATTCTTAGAAATAAGTTAAGATATACTTATTCTTAAATTGCTTGTATCTGTCATTTACTTTTATTCTCGCTTCATTTCGATTCTCTACTGTAACTGTTTAAATTGTTATTACTTATAATTAAATTAGATAAGATTTGTGTTAACAATCTGATATTTGTATAACTTATATTGAATGGGAGTTACCCGTGAATAAAAATAAATAAAATATGAAATCAACTCGGTTGAGATGACCACCGACAGACATAATTCAGAAGAAACAAAATTTCTTTTTACTAGTCGTAATATCCGCCTGCAGTTTATTCGGTAGGCCACCGCGCCACCTACAGATAGAGTCCAGAAGCAATTCCACAAACACAAATTCCGAGCTGGGGGTCAGAATAATAAATATTTTCCGGAGAGGTGCCTACGAAATTCCTAAATTCTGATAGAAATATCAAACCATTCCCTTATATATGAGACCTTACCCAGCTAATGCTAACTCAGACGGTTTATTTCTTGTGAATACAAACAAAACCCCAAACACAGTGACAGGTGCTGCTATACCAATCTGGTATGACATCTGTGTCCAGGATAAAACAAAACTAAATGATGAATATTGAGTAATATGATGTAAATCAATGGATAAAAGAAATATTGGACTAGCACTCATAGAGAAAGGTGGGCCAACCATAGACACGTGTTTCTAGTTAAATAGTCTTTGTCAGTAAGTTAAAGCTGAGTGTGAAGGAAAGGCAACATCTGATGGCTAAAAAAGGTTAAAACAAATATATCATCATCAGTAAAGTACAGCCAAGTTTGGAGGAAAAATGGTAAAAACAAATGAATTCAGCATCATCAGGGACCAATTGCGGCTTCGTGGCATCGTTGGAAGACCTTGATCACATTTATCATTTACTACTACAATCATCCAGAAATATGTGGCAAGAGAATTTATGACAGATATAAATCGTACTCTGTTTCAGATTGAATTAAATATAGGTAAGATCCTCCACCACAACCCGCGAGGGTTTATTGTGGCTCACACCTATTCACACTCGACCAAATAAACCCAGCTTCTTAACGAAGCCGATTGGTTTGTATGGTGAGTGGGGACTTTCACGTCAGATGGCAAGAGTACGGCTCTGCAAAATTCTAAAAAGCTAACTCGATCCCCAGCGGCACAAAGTATGGGCTCTGTTGTTTCATCATTTTCCAAAGGGGGCGACACACACTGTCTTCCGACAGTCCGAGTTTCTGAATATGATGATTCAAATGACAGTGACCTGTAAGAAGGCCTGTTAGACATCATAGTTTATCCCTACTATAGTCCAACAACTGTTTGGTATCAATCTTTAACGGGTGAATAAACGCCTTATAACTTTGAATTCAAATTCAAAGAGGAAATTAATAAAATTAATGTCATGCATTTGGTAATTGACTCACTCAATATTCTCCAAAGACAATCCAATCAAATTGTTAATGCATAAGATTTGCAAACATAAATAGTTGATGTTGTTCTAGGTACCACATTAAATTGTTATTGATGATTTTTTTCTACTGTAAAAATTTCTTCTTGCCATGCTATAGGAAATAAGTTTTTTTTAAATATGGCAATCTTCCAAAGAAAGAAAGCAGTTAATTGCTTTTTTTATTTTAGTTGCGCAAAAGCAAGGAAGAACAAACCTCGAAACGTGACAATAACTGTCAATCATTCAATTCGTGGGGGCACCTACTTTTTCAATGTTTTGATCTTTTCAATACGTTATAAACCACATCGGACCTAACGCTTAGTTCTTCCACCATCCCACGCTGCGTTTGTAATGGGTCAGTCTCCACCCGAGTCTTCAAATCCTCGTCCTGGCTTACTATAGGTCGATCACTTCGAGGCTAGGCCGCTGAAAAAAGTTTTGTCACAGTTGGCTGAGCTGAGCGTTTCTTTTCCAGTTTCCAAAAGAAATTTCGCAAACCAGCATCGAACAGTGAGTTCATTAACACTACCATTGCCAAATGCTTGCTTAATGTTCGGGCTGTTTCGGTAGCGCTTTGGTTCAATATGAATTCGTGGAGGAAATTTGTCTGAAAATCGCTTAATGACATCGTGTTAATGACCGTGTTGGGAATCACACGTTAAAAGGTAAGATTTCGGTAATTTTTAGCTCACACAAGTTTCGACTTCTGAGGGTTGTCTTTCGTAGTGGTGCGACAGCTGGTTAACGGAAAAACAGACTTTAAACAGATATAGTATTACCAGTATATACCAAAACGCGTTTAGAATAGATATTTATTGAGATATGGCGCTACAAAAACATGTGATATTAAAACGGATAAAACTTTTTAAACTACCTAATATTTGGTAAGACGTTTTCGTCACGAGAATTTTTCTTGTGAGCTTTTTTTAGTCAAACCTTATTGCCAAGATTCTATTAGTTGAAATATTTGTAGCTAAGAAATTAAAGGGGATATCGTATGTTTGTTATAAATAACAGAAAGTTCTCGAAATAGCAGAGAAAATCAATAGAGAAAGAACCATAAGAATTATGACTCATTACCTGCAGCAGGCCCTGAATATTATAACAAGATGACCCGAAGAAGAAGGGCTTAACATAAGCCCATCCAAATCGACCATAGTAGCGTGCACCAAGAGGACTAAAACAGAGGGTCTCGGACCTCTAAAACTTCGAGGTGAAGAAATACAAGTGTCGGGTGGGTGAGGTTAAATATCTGGGAGTAATCCTAGATTCCAAACTGACCTGGAATTAACACTTGGACAGGATAAAGAGGAAAGTGGAGGTAGCACCGATGCTCGCCAGACGCACCTATGGAAAAACATGGAGGCTAAAACCAGACATGGTATATTGGCTATACACGATGATGGTTAAACCCATGATAACATACGCATCTTTGGTCTGGTGGCCAAATATGAAGCAGGCGACCGCCATCAACAAACTAGGCAAGGTGCAAAGACTTGCATGTTTGGGAATGACGGGAGCAATGAGAACTAGCCCAACAGCTGCATTGGAGACACTCCTGAATCTACCTCTACTACTCCTACTACCTACCTCTACCTACTTTGTGATAATGGGGGAGGCTAGAATGGGCCAATTCAGACTGGAAAATTCACCGAACTACAAAAGATCGGACCGAATAGAAATTTCGGAACAAGTGGAGGAGCACATATTTAACATGTGCACAGACCACATGACACCAAAGTACACCTTCAACACAAACTTCACGGCCAAAATCATAAGCCATGAAGAGTGGAAAACAATTAGTCATCCCGAAAACATGTTTGGAAAAAACACCTGGTATACAGATGGATCGAAGACCAAACATGGAACGGGAGCTGGAATATACCGAGGGGATAGAAATTTAAACTACAACTATCCGCTAGGACTATACACATCCGTTTTTCAGGCGGAAGTGTATGCTATATTGCAGTGTGCAAGGCTTATTAAATTGAGACCTCAAAGAAATGAGCAGATCAATATTTTTACAGACAGCAAGAGCGCACTAGGGGCTCTGACAAACCCGAAGGTGACATCAAAACTGAATGAACTTGCAAACAGAAACAAATTAACTTTGTACTGGGTGCCAGGGCATTCAGGAATCACAAGTAATGATAAAGCTGATGAATGCGCTAGACGCGGATCATCATCTTCTTATATTGGTCCTGAACCAGCTCTGGGGGTACCAAAAACATTGATACGAAACCAGATTAGGACATAGACCAATAAGAAGCACACAGAGTACTGGACAAAAGTACCTGGCAACAAACACAGTAGAACCTTTATTAGGTAACCGTCCGAGAAAAGAAGCGAAGAACTACTTCAATATAGTAGGGACCGGCTCAGAATAATTACTGGGTTACTAACCGGTCATTGTCCGCTTAGAGGACACCTGAATAAAATGGGGCTGTATAACGGAGACCTCAGCTGCCGATTATGCAACGAAGGGATAGAAACAGCTCTACACATCTTATGCAAATGTGAAGAACTGAATCACAGGAGGCAGGCAATATATGGACGTACGAAATTACGTCCAGAAGAATATGACGAACATCCAACACGGAACCTGTAAAAACAAGTACAGGGAACGAGACTGATGGAATGGGTGTCATGAGAAGATGGGAGAATAAATGCAATAAGCTGTAGGGTTTTCTGGAGACTTGGACTAAATGGACAAATCAGACAGCTCCCAAGGTACCAAAAAAAAAAAAAAAAAAGACCTCGTTAATCCTTAGCTCACACAAGTTTCGACTTCTGAGGGTTGCCGTTCGTAGCGGTGCGACAGTTGGTTAACGGAAAAACAGATTTTAAACAGTTTTTTTTAAAACAGATATAGTATATACCAGTATATGCCAAAACGCGTTTATAATAGATATTTATTGAGATATGGCGCTACAAAAACGTGACATTAAAAGGGACAAAACTTTTTAAACTACCTAATAAGATGTTTTCGTCACGAGAATTTTTCTTCTGAGCTTTTTTTACTCAAACATTATTGCCGAGATTCTATTAGTTGAAATATTTGTAGCTGAGAAATTAAAGAGGATATCGTATGTATGTTATAAATGAACAGAAAGTTCCCGAAATAGCAGAGAAAATCAATAGTGAAAGAACCATAATGAATTATGACTCATTACCTGAAAACTCAGATCAATTTTCATCTATTTTGATGAGGTAGCAAAGGAAGTTCACAGGCAAAGATATAGGTTATTCATCGTTATTTAAAAATAATCATTTTTTTTTTGTGATCAAATCGTGAGGTGTAGTTTAAAAAAAAAAAAACTATCACATTAAGTAATGATATACTGAGCTACTTTTGATACCTCTTCTAGCTTCAGTTGTCAAACAATTTGGTATTGTTTTACTGATCACAGAAAATTGTCGAATCATAACTTATCGGGGTAGATTCAGTAGTCAATTTTTTCAACGAGTTGATTTTCTTCAGAGTACCAAAATTTATATAAATATTATTCTGAAAAATCGACGGCCAATAAAACTAATGCATTTTAATAAAATTTACTTAAATTACGATACCTACAGTGTGACAGTAAAATTTACATACCTAAGAGCAAATACAAGTATTTTCTGACATTTCAGTGTCTTAAGAGTAAAGGTCGTTTTGTTGATGGGTAGATTCTGCAAAAGAAATTTCTTATTCACAGCTGACGACTTAAAAAATATCATATAACTAATCATCACTAAATTAAGAACACGATAAAGTCTGATCATTTAGGAGTACAATCCAATTGAACGATGCAAAGTCGGCAGTCCCCAGAGATGTTATATTGCGAAGGTAATGAATGAATCAGAAATTTTGAATCCTCTAGTACTGAAATCACCTTTTGTGCAGTTGCACAATTGCATATATTAATAGATGATTCAATGTTATTAGTGTCAACTTTTTTATTTGAGAATAATTTGAACTGCTGAGGACACTTTTCAATTCAAGTACAAATGATATCTGCGATGGAATCGGTCGATACTAGATATGAATATCAATAGCTTATTCACGCCTGAATAAGCTATTGTTTATATATTTATAGACACACCTGAAGTAGCTATTGTATATGTGTATAGACTGAAGAAGCTACTTTATAGTGAAACATGTCTTGCGTTTTTGTAAAAATATTCAGTGGAAATCTCACAATAAAGTGTTTCTTGAACACAAATGATATACTTGAGTGGAGATTTGTGTGATAGTTTTAACACAGTTTACAAAACTTCAATATTAAAACTCTGACCACCTTCACATTTTTAAAAATTTTATCAAGCCAATGTAATTTTGCATAGATATTTATTATAATTAAAGTGAAGAGGTATACTCCCTCACTAGGATTATTTTGAAGAATTATTACTATTTTATGGTTGTCTTCAAGTCCTCAGCATATTAAATTTATTAGGAAATTGGATATATGTATAAATTTATATGGTAAAATAGGTGTTATGACTGTATCTAAGATAAATTCTATAAAAAGAGTGGAGTGATATTAAAACGAAATGAGAAGTAGAGAGCCAAAACATTTCTTTCTGAAAAAGTAATCTGTCCTAAAAATACACCTGTTTCAAAAACGGGCCATTATTCGATCGTCTCTGGGAACTGACAAAAAAAAATATAATTGTTCACTGAGTGGAAATTCTAAATATGTATAATGCAATATGAACAAATGTGAACTGTACATTTATGATAGCTGAACCACTAACAAATGAAATAAACCGATCAGAACATAAAGAATGATACGAGATACTCCCAACATTAATAGGAACCCATTCGAATATTTATACATACAATCAATATTGAAACAATGAAATGCAAACAAATTATTTATTCAACTGAAATTTCTCATTTATTTTTTTTCAGATTCTTAATTGTAAAATTTCTCAGTTGTCATGAGATCTTAAATTAAAGAAAATTGTAATACCTGAGAGAGATTCTGGAGGCATTGAAATCCATCTTGTAAACATATGTTGTATAAAAAACTACGGAAACGACATACAAAAAGAGTACAAATTCCAACACTCCCAGAAACAAACTGCAGGTATAATTGTTTGAAGTTCACTTGTAATACAGCCATTATACTAACATTCCTCTTGTTCTTGAGACTTCCTGACACATCGGGCAACTTTCCGTTTGAACTCTGAATATGATTCTCTCCACTCTTTCTGTAAAAAATAAAAAAACAGTAAGCGCATTCTTCGCATACAGCGCATAATAATAATAATGAATTCATTTTTAACACGTGCAGGACTTAATTACAGGAAATGCTTGAAAACTATTTTTCCAAAAATTATAAGGTATTTTTAAATAAGAAATAGTACATCAATGGATTACGTTGGATATAATGCAGCGGGAATATCATTGAGAGATATCACAGGTGATTTAAATGCAATATTTGTCTTGTCAGTATCTAAGTAGAATGTCATTCATATCTAGTCTCATGAGTTGTCAATATTATATTCATTAGAGAAAGTTTACTGGATACTTCTGAATTTTTTTCACTTCCAGGCCCTAATTTTTAATTTTGAAGTACTCAAAAGAAAGTTATTAAATCCCAAAACCATTATCTTGTATCTAATTTTTTGTCGATAGCTTCACTCGAGTTGACATGGAAAGTACCATAATTACATTTGGATTACATTATATAAATTTTCAGATTTTATCTAGAAATACTTACAGCAGCATCAACATTGGCAGGCGATTCATCGTTTGGATCAGCTAACATTGAAATTACTGATATTAATATAGTCTCTACAGTATGCACTGGTAACCACCGTTCTGAAGCTTTTTCATAACCGAATTTGTCATCACCTGGCTCATGAAGAATGGATATACAAACGTCCCCATTTTTGTCAACTGAAAATTAATAAGTTATAACGAAAATATGTAATAGAGACAATTCTGCAAATTATTTTTATAGAGTACTTCTTGGTGTACTTGGAAAGTGTGAATAAAATATCTAATAGAATAGAATAGAATATTTATTTTGCACAAGGGACAAATTACAAAAATTGATAACCAAGTGTTATGGATACCATCCATGACACTTTGTTATCAATTTCAGGAGATAATATAGAAACACTAACTGATCAAATGAATTATGAACTAAGAAATGTTTTCAAATACATGAATCGCAATAAACTAAAACTCAACACCTCCAAAACAAAATATATGATCTTATCAACTGGTTATAAGTTATCATTCATCAACAAACACAACATAAAATTACAAATTGCAGGTGTTGTAATAGAGTTCGTGAGTGAATTCAAATACTTAGGTTTCATGGTGGATAATCATTTATCTCTTCATGCTCATTTTGATTATATATTGAGAAAAATTACTATGAAAATATATTTTTTCTCAAGAATTTCACCTCAGCTTTCAATGTACTCAAAAATTACATTATATAATTGTATAATCCAACCCCATTTTGATTATTGTGCTAGTCTTTTACACTCATTTGACCAAAATGAAGTATCAGCTTTACAAAAGTTACAGAATCGTGGAATGAGGATTATACACTAGGGATATTTTTAAAAATGGCAATAATTTTTTTTAGATTGCTTTAGGGAAGTATATCAAATATGTTAAGTAGATTGCAGTGGCTGTCTGTTTCCCAGAGACTGTACGAGTTAGCAAAGATATTCATTTTCAAACTAACACATAACTTGCTTCCAACTTATTTTGAAGAATTCTGTATATATAAATCTCAAATCCATAACCACTCAACAAGAGCGAGTAGCTCCCAAAAATTTCACCTTCCTTGAACTAATTTGACTAATACGATGAAGTATTTATTCTATTAAGGTCTGAATGAGTATAACAATATCCCACTTTCGTTGAAAGATTCAATAAATGTTTTTCAATTCAAAAAAACTCATGAACTATAGTTTCCGAACGAAACTGGTGTTCACGACCGAAACCGAATTTCGGCAACCATCTCAGTTTCGGCCGAAACGGAATCTTCCTTAAAAAGATTATGTTTTGGATGGAAAATAAAGAAAACGTTATTATAATCAGTCAGTCTTTATTAAATATTAATTGCACTGTAAAAATACTTAAAATAGGTGAGGTGTTTATTTGAGTTGGTGTAGATCCTTCTTTTGAATATTATTGATGGTTTTTCACAAATATTGAACATAAAATTACTTATTTAAGTTGTTACCTAATATCACAACAGGTACTTAATATTTCTGTAATAAACAAAGTAAATCACAAAGTAAGTCACGAGTCACGACATGATTAGGCACGTGGACGCGGCAAAATGTCTTCGTCGCTTGTATGAAATTCAACGCGCCGAACATGACCGATTACAGCGCGGGAACTCCCGAATGCAGTATCGGTTTCGGTCGTAGTTTCGGTAGGTTTGCCGCCGAAACCGAAACTTAACCGAAACTCATTGTTTTGCCGAAACTCGACCAAAACCGAACTTTCGGTCAGACACTAATGAACTATATTAAATTTCATCCCTGATTATCTTTTTTCTGTTTTGTAATATATTTGTTATGTATATCCTCATGTTGAAACCATTCTGTAATCATTGAAAAATGTGTTTCTTATTTGAAAAAAGGCATTTTTCCAAGTTGTACCATCTGTTTCAGTCTGTGTCACCTCTACTCACATTGTATTAATTGTCGACAACTTTTTTGTACCTCCAAGTGCTTTGTGTTGCCTTGAAGGTAATTACTTGAGTGGACATTTTTTGACCAAAACATCGAAGTTAGTTTATAACAATATCAACAGTGATGGTGACTTTCATATGAACGTAAATTTTAGAGGGCTCCATTTCAAAAACTTATTTAGAGGAAATTTTTTTGAAAGATATCGATGATGTTCTCAGGAGAGCTTTTTGAAGACTCTCTAGGCAGTCTAGGCTGATTTTGTTTCTCTTGCGCAACTCTTATCATGAAGAAAATATCGTGTATTCACTAAGTTCTAGACATCCCTAATGAAAAATGATATTCAAAATTTTTGTGATGTACTGTTTGGAACCTTTGGTGTAGTAATGAATATTACTGGAGTTTTTTCCCAACACCAAATCGTTATTTTTACACCTCGACACGTGTTACGATCACCAAGTGATCATCTTCAAGAGGAAGATAAAACTAAAAACTACTCAAAACTAAAGCTAATAACAAGTGTCGAGGTGTAAAAATAACGATTTGGTGTTGGGAAAAAACTCCAGTAATATTCATTGATATTCAACAGTATTTACAGAGAAATGAAAACTCAATGAAAATGCTAAGTTTAGTTTCTTAGAAACTGCAGTAAATACAATGATTTCAATTATGCTTTCAGAAGGGCATTCTGAAGTCTTTCAATACCGCCTTTTTTTAATTTCTCCACTAAATTCTGAGACACCCTGTATAATTTTTTTTGTGAAATGAAGTAAATCAGTTTAAAAACACACATCAGCATTTCAAACACATTATACTCCATATTTTCAAAAATACTTACTATTTGGATGCCAAATTTCTGTAACAAATTTCATCTTCGGTGGCCTTAGTGGATATTCTTTAGGAAAATATAGGTGACATTTGAAAAATCCGCCTTCACTGGAAATGAAAATGAATCAGTGGTAATATAGGAGTTTAGAGAAAATAATTTATGAAGGTAGATCCACACAAGCATTTTGAATATTATCTTATCTGGACTGGAATTTAATGGGGGAATCTTAGTCCTGGAAAACAAGTAATGAAAAACACATTGATAAGATAACCCCCACAGTATGAATAACCAATGGCATTAAAACAAGACAGTTTCCAATTAGAAATTAAAAGCATTATTAGGAAGGGAAGGGACATTGTATTCAATGTGTGAGCTTAAAAGAATCTTGAGGCATTGCCATTACAGGATTCAATCATACCAATCTCATCAGGAGAGATTAATTTATTTGGGGAAAAAAGGTTTTTTTTGGGAAACTTCCAAGGAATGGAATAAAAAAAAACTATTATAATAACTCTTTATAAAGCTATGTAGATCATACACATATATTTCTTTGGAAGAAAAAAATCCTTCTGAAATAGTATTTTCACATGAACATTGAATTACATAAAGGTGAGGAGTCTTTTCTAAACATATACTTGCAGATGAATATTCAATTTAAAAAAAATTACTTATTCAATTATTTCATTAGCACCCCATTTTGGGTAACATTACAAAAAGAAGCATTCATTTCTATCAAAAAATTATGATTTTTTCGTTGATGATGGTAAAATAGAAAGCCAGAAATATTTTTTTCAATGAATTATTAACCTGAATATAGTCAATATTCTAGTTTAACTTTTGTGATTTTTCAACAATCAGCTGTGTTCTCTAAAGAATCCTCAAAAGTCAAAATTTGTACAAGCTTTCAAAGTGCAATTCCTACATAACCAACTTATACTGATTCATTCCATAGCTTTTTTTTCAACTTTTTTAAAGTTAACAACATATAATTTCTGGGCAGTATCAGAAGTGAAATTATGACATTGTACACAAATACATCTCAATTTAGAAAACACCATGATAAACAATAATTAAATTATACAAAGTTTTACCAGTCATAGTCACAAAACAATGTTAAATATGCTATGTGCTTTACGTCTGATGAATAAGACTGGTGACAAGTTGACCTGTACCTGATTAAATAACCTGAGGACTTGTATTGCACTGACTGTTAAGAAAAACGTTATCAATTGAAGGATTTAGTACCAACAATTCAGAAAGGATGATTATATACTAGATTTTAATTCAATATAATTATCAATATTACTATAGTATTAGTAGTTGATGGGAGTAATAGATCGATGACAGTGAGAATCTGATGAAGTTCAAAATACTTGCAAGACTTTTGGTCCTTATTTTGAAGTTTTTTACCAGAATTTTTAGGTTACCTTCATCGTTTTCATTGAATTTTAGAAGCGTGCATTCTGAAGAAGTGATTCCATATCTTTTGTTCAAAAGTAAGATTTAATAAATTCAAGTTGGTTTTGCAGTATGGAGGAGCAACTTCTTAACCTGTGACATGTTTTGCAGTTTATTGATAGCTCAGTAAATTTTGAATCAAAATTGATATATAGTGTGTAGAGATTCTTTTATGAATTTGAGGCCGTCATTATAATATTCGATTTGCATATAATGGTTGATAAATCTTTAGGAACAAAATAGGAATATTGAGAACAAGTAGAATGTTACCACTCTAGGTTTTTATTCATTCAAGTCAATAATTGTATTGTATATTTAACTTGGATATTATTGTACAAGAACATTTTATTTACTTTTTGCCAAAATTGTATTTGAGTTTGCACAACAGTATTTTACGAAATCAAAAATTTATGACAGTCCCAAAACACTACTGTTTGGTACTAGGAGAGTACTGTGTCTCCTGAATACTAATCATGTAGTTACCAGAGGAAGTCAATATTTAAAGAATCAAGGTTTGTCAAGTAATAGCATTGGTGATTTGTAATGTTTTCTTGCAACTATCTAATTCTCGGAATCAATTATATCAACTTCTTAATACTGAAACACAAACTCTTAACACTATTTATTTACTGGTAATAAAAGGTCACAATGTACTTACTATAAAGTATCAGGGGGTCCTATTATGAGTACTTCCCATCTATAGATATCATTGTCATCTATAAGGCCAGCAGAAAAACCCTCTACTGGGTTCTTATTTAGTTCTGAAATAAAAATACTTTATAAGCCTTAAGCTCTTAAGGTCTGAATCAAGAAAGTAACCATAAAGACATACATTTTGCAATTTTGACTACACAAAGAGGCGACATATCCAAAAATAAAAAAAATGACACATCAACTTGTTTTAGAAGTTGAGCATACTTCTGCAGGGTTTCAAGTTACATTTTCTTCCTGAAGAGTATATATTACAATTGAATTGTAATGACTGAATCTCTGGTGAGGTTTTCAAGTGAATATACATCATTAATAAAATATATTTAGAGGTATGCTTCATTTTGACATACAGGATGGGGAAATTCTAGTTATTGATTTTGAATAGCAAAGAATACTCATCAAATTCTAGTATAACCCAAGTGGTTCTTGAACCCGACCACCGAAAATAGTACACAGAAACTAATTTTGTCCAAGGCAGACAAATTTGTTTGAAAAAAAACCGAGGTTGTTCGAGGACGTTTTGGGTTCCTACACAACAAATCTCAAAACTTTATATTTCTTTCACTCTGAAAAAAATGAGGATATCAACATTTTTCACTAACCTGCGAGCTGTTTTCTCAATAGAAGAGCTGACTGTGGTTCTGACATTTAATTACAATTTTAATTTTGAAAGGTATTTTAATCCAACTACAGAGTATTGTAAAATGGCCGGTGTCGATATTGAAAGTTTCAGACCGCATTGACTCAAACATCTGTTATTTCCGGAAAGGTTTGTAACTTGACTAAACGTCAAAGTTGACCTGCCATCTGTAATTGAGAGGCTACACTTGTTTGGTCTGCCGCACTCTGATGTGTTTTTGAAAACACTTGAGAAGGTCTCTTAAAGGGAGTGTCTGAGAATTTTGGATAAAAGATAAAATCAGAAAGTGTTGTCTATACATAATGGGAATACGACCACTTTATTAAAACATATTGCAAAAAACCACCCAAGTGATATTGTAGAAACTAATAATTTAAATCATAAAATGAAAATAATATTCCAGTTAATCCGTCACAGTCGTCACTATCTACAATGAAGGTTAAGGCTCCCCAAAAGAGAAGCAAACTCAAACCCACGTGAACGTGCCAAAGAAGATTACACAAAATTCTGGTGACAAAGGATAGTGGAGAACTCTGGGTTTCAACAATATATGAAAGCATTGAACGCTGATTATGAACTTCCAAATAGAAAAAAAACTAGTATTGATGATAAATTAAAAATATAAATTGGAGTCGGAATCTTTAAAGAAGTTGGGGGATGTTTGCTGAATCGCTAAGACGTCTGATGTTTGGTCTTCAGATATCACATTTCATAGTAAAAACGAGCTTGAAATCAGTCGTTATTTTTACTTCAGAAATGAAAGAGAACTACATGGCTGAAAACACTGCGAAGGTTATTCAAAGAGTAACGGACCAGTGACATATAAGTTCAAAAGTGGTAGTTAGTGTCACAGATAACGCTGCGGCTATTGAAAAAGCAGTAAGTGAATGTTTGATCATTTTTGTGTTGCTCATACAGTCACTCTCGCGGTTAAATACTGTATAGAACAAGGACCATTTGAATTGGAAGTTAACAGTAACACTGCTGTCATTTATAACAGTCGGTTGCAACGACATTTGGCGAAATGTCCATTAATTGTTTCGCATTTTAAACATAGTACGAAATTTTCATATGCCTTACTCAAAATACGATTGTAATTGCCAAATGCAAGAGCAATTGAAAGAAGATACAATAAAACCCAAGCAAGACATTGGTACTCGCCAGAATAGTACTTTCTATGTGTTCGAGCACAGTATCGAGCGCCTATTAAAAGTTGAAATAGCTCTATCTGCTACTTTGCCGCCACTGGAATCCATTGAATGGTTATCCAAAGACGTCATGGCCCTTTTACACCCATTCGAAAATGTGACAAATATTTTATCTGGAGAAAAATATCCCACATTATCATCTGTTACTCCTCTTATACTTGGACTACGAAGGGCAATAGACAGCAAGACGCCAGTGACGGAATTAGTCAAGTGTTTTTCTTCTAGAATAGAAAAACGACTTGGAGTATATGAGACTAGTAGGGTAGCATCAGCACTCAAAAGCTTTCTTCCTTGATCCACGTTTTGAAAAAAGAGTTTTTGTGTTATAAGGTTATGCCAATAACTCGAAAATGTGGGTACTAAATGAGAAATTAAACAAGAGTAGCAATCAACACCTGCCTTCTTCTAGTACAAATAGTCTCAGTCCTCTCGTTACTTCTGCTGCTATTTCTAATATAGTTATGTTGGCATTAGGTTCGGGTAAAAACGATAAATGAGGAGTTGTAGGTAAACAAATCATGGAGAGTACCGCTAAGCCAACTCCACACACATCGGTAGCTTCAATGGTGAAACAATATAATGAATTACCATATCTGGAGAGTAGAGCAATAAGTATGAATGTAGAAGGCATCACAGTGAGAGGACTGGTCATGGTGGGTCAGGGAGGGGTCTTATCCCCCCTTCTTATCACACTGTGCGATAGAGCGCATGATGGGCTCAAATTAATAGAAACATGGTGTAAGGAACACTCATTGTCGATCAATCTCAAGAAGACTGAGATTGTGCTTTTCACCAGGAAAAGAAGTTTATCGGGCTTAAAACCTCCCGAAATCTTTAAAAGTAAACTTCTTCAAAGAGGTGAAATACCTTGGTACTATCCTCGACAGAAAGCTAACATGGACCTCTCACTTAAAGAGTAGAGCAAAAAGAGTATATGTGGCTTATGAGCAATGTCGGAGGACAGTGGGACGCGCATAGGGTCTTTCACCCTGTGTGGTCACCTGGATCTTCACTGCAATAATAAGACCTATGTTAACGTACGGAGCCATTGCATGGGGACTGAAAGTTCTACAAGCAACGGTCATCCAAAAATTATATCAAATACAGTGATTGGCTTGTTTAGACATCACAGAAGCCATGAGAACAACACCAACCGCAGTAATGGAATTATTTACTGGCCTGCCCCCACTGGACCTGTACGTTAAGGAGGTTGCGTCAATGGCCATGTTACGATTGCGCACGGCTGGTGTAAACCTCGAAGTAGAAATGGGTCAAATGAGGCGGAGCCTATAGCGAGAAGCGTTTACTGCGCAACCTCTGCTGCAGGTAACCAGTGATGCAATTGAACCCAGGTTTGTGTTTAATAAACCCTACAAATTACAAAAGAAACAGAACACAATTCAGATGTTAAAAATGCAGAAGGCTCAGGATGTGGAGTGTACTCCAGATCACTAAGCCCAGCAAGGATTAAGTAGGGAATAGGAAAAATACCAGCGTGGTTCAAATAGAACTGGCTGATATCTCAATCGCCACAAAAAATTAACCTGGAAAGAAATTTCTGGCAAAAACATAACAATCTGCACTTATAGCAGACAAGTCCTATTAGCCTTGAAGAGACAATGTGTTACCTCAGGGATAGTACTAGAGTGCCATCAAGATTTAGCCAAAGTCTCGGTAGATGATAACATTATTCTGAGGTGGATTAAAGAGTACGACAGAAGTGAAAGTAATTGCATTGCCGACTCTTAACCGAGGAAGCGGCTGGACTAAGGTTTTTAGGACCCAGCGACACCTACGGTCTGATGACTTCGACAATTGCGGAACTAACCAAACGGTACACCCATGCTCAAACCCTACAGAGATGGGATGGAATCATAGGATGCAATACCCTGGAAAGCTGGCGCCGAAAAAATATCTGGCGATGACCAAGAAAAATCCACGCTCAACAGTAGGATTTCTGACTGGCCACTGCCAACTAAAGAAACACCTCCACAATATGGGGCCAGTGGACACACCTCTATGCAGGATGTGTGAACAGGAACATGAAACTGTCAGGCATGTCCTAAGTTATTGTCCGGATTTTTCGTCAATAAGAGAGTGTGTGTTCGGCGAGTCTTGACCTACACCTACCGATATGAAGAAGATGTCTCCCAGAGACTTGCCCACCTTCCTGGAAAAGCCTGGATGGTCGATGACCTAGGAGGACAACTCCTTGGGAGGATGCACAATGGGTCAAATGTGGCTTAAGTGCTGTGGGCAACACTCACTCTCCCTATTCTACAGATACAGATACCATATCTGGTGAGAAAGTGCGATCCACTTGAAATCTGGAACGAGAAAAATGCTTGTTTCCGATATTATATAAGATTGCCTACAAATATCATTGTTATTTGTTTCTGTTTTTTTCGTTAATCAGCTGTCGCCTCCATACGAACCACAACTCTCAGAAGTTGAGAAACTTGTGCGAGCTAAGGACTAATGAGGTCTCACCATTTAACGCGTGATTCCTAATACGGTTGCAGACTCATCCCAGCTTCAACCAGATGAATTATCTCGAGAAAAATATCTGGTCGAAGCAGGAATCAAACCTACGGTCTTCCGATCGTGAGTCGGGCGCACTACCACCGCGGCCAATTCCACAACCGGCAATATCAGTTCCTTCAGAGTTTCATCATCCATTTAACTCAAGTTACTCAACTCGAGTTACGTGAAATATATCGAGTTGTGTTCATCCTGAGTTGGCACATCTATACGCGGCGTTTTGGTGTAGTGTGTAAAGGTTTCATTTTTAATTGCAGAACGCTGGAGTATTGTAACGGAAAGTGTTTTCAACGCTGGGCCATCAGTTAATATGAGGTTAGGGCATTGATAGCTCATTGTGATTTTAATTCGTTTAATTTTCATTATTTATATTGAAAATAAAATCAACAAAATACAGCACGTACAAGAATACTCTTCCCGTGTATGGAATTCGAAACTGTAAAATACACATTCCGTGAGTGAATATTATCTCGTCTCATTCGTCATCAGCTTTGGAGGTCAGGTATGGTAGTAAACACCTTCAGCAAGGCTACCAAGCTCATCTGAAGGTGAGAATTCAAGGTCCATCCAATAGTCTGTAGGAGTTTGGAGATAAGTGTCCATAGTTTCATCGACGGGGTTCGTGACACGGAGCTGCAGCAGCCGCTGAGAATGGAGCGTCATGAAAAACTAAATGGAGCCATCATGTATGCTCTAGAATTTGAATTTGCCAAAACTGCTACGCGCCAATAACGAAAAGTTTTAGTGAAGGTTATCAATAGAAAGGAAGATAATGGAACAAACCTATTCATGGCAGGTCTAGAGAAACTCCTTGAGAAATATGGAACTGCTTTCATGATAAGAGGCGGCCTAATTGCCACGGTGGATACAAACCATTTTTTCATCGAGGTAGATTTCTGGAAGGGAGCGGGGTGTCACATGAAGACACCAATCACAGTGACGCATTGACGTATACCTATGATTGTCGTTCTTTGTTCTATGATAAATTTGACGATCGTAATCAAAAACATGTCAAATGTCATTGCATCCAAATTTGGAATTGATGTGTTTTCGAACCATTCCTCAAAAATATTAGCTTCCATGTTCTTGTGATAGTCAACATTGCAGTCCTCAAATTTTTTTTCCATATCCTTTACTTCCTCCGCAATGCACAATGATTAGTCGCGATCCTTTGTTTACAGGCTTGTTTGGCGTACACATTCTCGAACCATCAGTCCACCCTTTTGCAACTGTGTCGTTAGTGTTATACCAAGTTTCGTCCAAATAGAAAATTTGCCGTTGTTCTTGTCTATATTTAGTTATTCTTTCGAAGTATTTGTTACGCAATTCTACTATTCTTCCGCTTTCCATAACTGTTTGACGTTT